TCGGTATCACATAATAAAGAATTGCTTTTTACTTGTAGCATGACAAGATTAAATAACATTCTGCTATGGATAGCCTGCATCAAACAGCTTCCATCAAGCCTTCATGCTCCAATTGCATGGATGGGCACTGCGAACAACAAAACCAGGATGTTTTGTGATTTACTCCCTTCAGGTGCAGTTCACAGTCTAAACAGGCCTGTCATAGTCCCAACCTTCCCCCTCTTTCCAGTGTGCTATCACCTTTTTTGGATGGAGCAAGATTGGATCATCTCCCTGGAACTGCTGAGTGTGTGATCACATAAATCATACTGCGTGACCAGGAGCAGCATCGGGGACACCTGGCAGCTAGGACTCACCTCCTCGTAAACTGCTGTGCAGCCCAGCCCTGCAGTGATTCATGGCGTGGGCAAGACACCAGCATCTCCCGGGGAGCCTTCCACACAGTAGGAAGAGCTTCTTCTCCAAACTTGGAAAGCAACATTGGCCGAAAAAGGAGGACAAACGCTACTGAAGAAGGGGGTTTTTGCTTCCTTGTAATTCTACAGCAAGACATCTGTGTTCTTTGCAAACAGATGTAACCTTTGTTATGGAGACACTCTATTTTTTTAAACTGAAGAGTCTATTTCGTAACAGTGAGCACATGACTACAGAGTTAACCTTCCACACAGGGAAGATCTCTGAGGAAGAAGCCTGACCGGTTGCTCAGTTACACTGCAATAACAGCATGCAGGTGTGAGAAACATGCTCACTATATTGAATTTTAGTCAGGGGCAAATTCGGTGGAGCAAAGAACATTTATTACAGCGTTGGGAGTTACACAGGGGATTTGTCCTCCTGTGGCTCACTTTTTTCTTACAAACACTTGATTTTATTTTTTATTACTTATACCTATTCATATTTCTTCCTGGAAAATAATTTGCATAATCAATGAGTTTTCAGAACACAACCCACCCCTAATTTGCATAATCAATGAGTTCTCTGAATGCAACCCACCTCCAAACACACCCCCTCCCTTCCAGCAGTGCAGGCACTATGCTTTCTCAGGGGTCTTCCTGGTGGTCATCAGAGGAAGGCTCGAAGTCTTTATCACCATGTCCGTCTTGTGGCTTTTTTATTTTTTTTAGTTATCTTTAGCTAACCGCACCACCCTTTGTTTGGCAACGGTTCGGTACTTTCAACTGTTGCTTTCGTCTGATATCCTTTCTAACACTATCCCTTTTCCAACTGCATAGCAAGCACATACCTATCTTAGCTGAAGCCATAGCAAGCACACATCCATTTTAGCTGAAGCAAAATTCTTTTGCTAAATTACTTACTACACAGATGTCAGCTCCCTCATCGCTATGGCTTTAACTGGTGCATCAACAGGCTGCCCAGAGCGGCTGGGGAGTCTGCTTCTCTGGACTTACTCAAAACCCGCCTGGGTGCCATCCTGTGCAACTTGCTCTGGGTGAACCTGCTTTGGCAGGAGGGGGGGTGTTGGACTAGATGATCTCCAGAGGTTCCTTGCAACCCCTGCCGTTCTGTGATCAGCCCAGGCAACAGCGATGACACGTTTGCGTTAAGCATTCCATTAGAGGTGGGCTTAAAATCCGAATTCCTCCACACTGTGACTTCCAGCTTTCAAAATGCTCGATTTGCCTCCTGAAGACATCACAAGAACTTCCCAAAATTTGTACTGGGATCTGCCAAAACACCTAGATCATTTGGTTATAGCTTGAAATACTTCACTGCAACTTAGGCTTCTGCTTACTCACGATACAGTTAACAACTCAATCTGCAGAAAAGTCTGTTAAAAAGTAGTTTCTGCTGAGACTGACATTGTTTTGCAGCAGTACAAGACATGCGCTAGTTTTCCCTTTACAAAAATGTAACCCAAATCAAGACCTTTCCAGACAGAAATGAAACCACTCAAAATTGCCCACGCAGCAATGCTCCTTCCTTATTCCTCCCAGCGGTTTCACGCCCAGGACCAGGCGAGGACAGCTGAAGGAGGAAACCCCTCCAGAGGGGCGAGGAGCGGCCTCCCGCCCTGTCAGGGCCATCTCCCCGGCCCCGGAGCAGCGAGGAGCAGTCTCCCCCGGTATTGGGTCCACCTCCCTGGCGGCC